TGTGAAGCAAAGAGAACTATTTGAAAATATGTTCCCCGAGGAGACGTATAAAAAAAGTTTAATTTTTCCTTAAATCAACATCACATCAGTGACGCGTGCGCCAGCTACTTTTCTGTCTACCCGGTGAACTACCATTTCTGTCCAATTCGCCACAACAATTTTTTTTTAAAACATCGCCCCTCGAAAAAAAATTCCCCCAGGGGATGTATCGAGTCTTAACATTTTTACTTAACTCCTTGTCTCAGTAGTCACATTCATGCAAAGTTTCAGCCTTCCATGTTCATCAGTTTAACTGAAAACATCTCCCTTTGAAATTTGGACCCCCAGGGCATTTACTTCTAAAGTCTGAATTTTTCTGCAGCATCGTAATAGGTAGTTACGTACCAAGTTTCACCTTTCCACACTAGCTCAATACGCCAGAACAAAAAAAAAATATTTGAATACGTCGGCCTCAAAAAATATCCCTCCAGGGTATGGATCTAAAATTTTGCGTTTTTCCTGAACTCAATGTCTTATTAGGCACGTCCATGCCAGGTTTCAGCTTTCCATGTCTCTCCGTTTTACTAGATGCACCGAACGGATGCACCAAAGCCGCATCCACCCAATTCTAGTGCTCTCCCGTTGTAAATTATTTCCCGGGAGCAATGTGTTCGAGCTCTGTCCCTTCTCCTGCCCCGTCAACGACCCCTGCTGCTACAGTAGACAACGCCTGCATGCTTTGTCCATACCAGGACCTCGAAAGAATAAATAAATGTTTAGAGAAGTTCTATTCCATTAGGGATAGAGAAGGTATAGTGCTTGTGTAGCTGGCATTCTACTCTTCCCTAATCCCGTGCTCTATTATAATAACAAGCTTAGCTTCAGCATTTAATGATTCCCTGAGTCATATATTATTTAAAATATGTTATAATTTCCTGCTTTCCATATATATTTTCATGGATTGCATAATAAGAAGTGGAAGGATGGTAAGAAAACTTGATATTATATCGCGAAATCCATTCATTACTTAATAGCATTTTTAGGGTGCAGGGAACAAGGGTTCCATCTAGTGAGGAATCTTCGTATTGCAACTGCGGGATGGTCAGTTGAAGTTTCATATGAAAAGTGTGATGCTAACTTTGCATAAACTTGATAATATGTACTTCACGTCAGATGGAGTGACGTCTAGTTTCCGTAAAATACACGTACACTTTGGTGACGTAAATATGTATAGTAATGTACATTTTACGTAAGCGTGATGCCATTTTCATGGCAATCGCAAGAAATTTACATTGTTTGCAAAAAATTGATATCATTTTTACGTAAACATGCTGCTTGGGCAGTAGAGCTGGACAACGATCTCCTGAGGTCAGAGGTCGAGTCAGACCCCCGTCAAACCATCTAACAATTGGTAGAAAACTTAATTCTTCGTGGTCAAGTGTTCAAGAACACCTCCAACAGATCGGGAAGGTTAATAGACAAGGCGTTTGGGTTCCACACCACCTTTCGGCCGAAAACAAAGTCCAGAAAAAAGTTTTTCTGCCAATTGTTGGATGGTTTGATGAGGATCTGACTCGACCTCCGACCTCAGAAGATCGTCGTCCAACTCTACTGGTCTTCCCGAACGATGGTCATCCGAGAGATCAACATCACCTGACTGGAATTTACTGAAGAAACGCTGGGATTTGCGAACATCCAATACATCTCAATAAACAGCACAAATGTTTTTGGTGGCCTCCGTTGCCTTACCTCCCTTACGAAACTCATAGAATGTCGTATATGGAATCTTTGGGAATGTGGTCGGACATTATTGTTGAAAAAACTTAAAAATTATTTTTTTATAAGAAATGTATGAAAAATAACTGTTCCTTTGATTAATAAATGAAATTCATTTAAAAACATACAAAAAGATACCATAAATCACGGTTACATTTGGTTTACAAAAAAACGAAATTACTTTCCGGTAATACATAAAAATATACCATTTTGATAGGTTTAAAAAGTATTACATGGACGACAGGTTTTTCAAGCCTAAAATTCATCAATTTGATGCATTAAACATTATTTGCGTACCCTCTAGAATCCCTTCGAGGAGAAACATGCAATTCACCGGGATGAAGTGGCTGAAGAAGAATTCACTTGATCAACAACGGTTTAATGGAATGAGAAACTTCCGCTTTTCAATGAAGCTCCAGGTTTTGGCGGATGGGAGCACATTCAGCGAGTCACTGCATTCCCCATGTCTTCCTCCCAAGCCCTAATTATAGCTTGGAACCTCAAAATCAATTGCTCTTCCACAACGCAACCCTCCTATGAGAAGTCCCTTCGCTTCGAGTAATGAATGGACATGGGTGGAGTCTACCCTTCCGTAACAAAAGGCGCTTCAGAATTAATGCTTCTTGTGTGCCTACTTCGATTCTTGGAACGTGTTTTCCATTTCTTCCCTCTTCTCTTCTCATTTCGCCATTTCCTCTCCTGACTTCCTTTTCCCATTTCACCTAGCAACTTTCATAGCCTCATTCATGAAACTGTGGACAAGGTATCGCAAGCGTTCCGTTTCGTCGTTTCTGGAGGAGGTCTATAAATTTCCCTTTCGTGGCGCTGCTTCCTGGAGCTGCTTCGAAGTACGAGTGGTCCTTGGCACTGGGTGTAGACGCAGGCAGAAATAAGTAGCAACTAGAAAGAAATGGGCATTCTGCAAGAAAGGTCGTTTTATGTACTATTTCACAATCAGCTCAATTCCTAATTCATCCTCTTCGGCCAACTGCTTTTAATTTGAAAATTATACAATTTAACTTGAAGTATCGCGCATCCATTCCTACCTACTGCCCTTTCGTCTCATTGTGTTTGTTACTGTTCATTGAGCGTAAGTAAGTCATGACGTTTCTTGCACAGCAGTCGCGTAAACGCCTCATAAACCATCATTGGGTGGGCTCTGCTGAATAACAGACAGTAATCGATGAGAAGCATCGGGTTCCTTATGACAATGCTATCGTTTGCTTGCATCTTCGCGTGTAGCGAGAAAACAGTATGTGTGCCAGATGGCATTGATCGACTGCGATGCACTTTTCCCCTCGGATGACCCAAAGGAAGTAGTGCCAACCTGCACCTCGAGCGCCTCATCACGTCAATCCGAGTTTCGAAGACGTCAAGGTAAGCTCGAATCACTTTGGTGTCTAGACCCTGGTGTCAAACATGCTGAAGACATTTAGGCAGTAAGATGGTACCTCCATGTGTAGCATAGCCAGGACAGGAACGCTCAAAATTGTACCATGAACGGAGGAAGAAGAATTTTCGTGCTGATGCTGCTGTTGGTGCCGAATGGAGGAGGAGATTCCATTACCCAGTTTAAATTCACGAAGGTGGATAGAGGAGGGATGGTCTTTCTCGCTCCAAGCCTCACACAAACCACGACCACAACCGTCATCGAATGTGCTTTCCAGTGCATCAGCATGACCGACTGCGTCGCATTTCATTGGCTTCCCTCAGGTTAGTGCCTTGTGATAGGTTATGCCTCCGTCGACCTTCTGCATTGGGAAAATTTTCTCTTGAATACTTCGAACAGGAAAATGCAATGCAATCGTTATTTACTCCTGTTCAGCACAAGGAGCGGTTTTGCCAAGTTTTGCCTCGAGTGCAATGTAGTCCACTCCCATTACCACTCCCATATAAAACTTTCGAATCGGACACACGTCTGGGGCCGGGAGATGGCTCCGGGTTGTCAAATTCTTCATTTTTCCGGCATGTATTGGTGATTTTAGTCATTCCGTGTCAAGCCAAAATTGATTATACCCCATCCGTTTTGGAATACATATTTGTGGACCTGTTGGGTTCTTTGAGAAACCATTTCGCAAGAAATTTCAGCATCCTATATCAAGTACTTATTTAAGCATCACGACTTTAATCTTTCAAAAGTGCGATATCTGGACCGTTGGTCATCAGTGTAATTAGCTTTGTAATTAGCAACGAAAGGAAATTTTCTTTATGTTATTTTTTAAAGATATTTTAATGCCTAATATGTTTTGTGCTTAGAGGTGTTTCCTTCAGAATGAAGGTGAAAGGTCAAGGGTTTTGGTCTTTAAACTTGATGCCCAAGCATTTACCGTGACATTCCAAAATAAAAAAACTAACATCAATATTCTCTTATCACTTATGAAATAAAAATGTAAATTTAAAAAGGTCTTTTCAAGATTCAAGATTCGGGATGTCGGGAGGCAGATCTGCCTCCCACGTCATCCCGATTTCAGGTCGAGCGTTCATTTCGCGTTTATTTAGTTCAAATATGTAGAGCTTAAATAAATGTATTTTTGGTATTATTTGCTATTTAAAAGTCCAACTTCAAGCGTCTCGACCTTACACTACAATTTTCAGGCTGACTCCAAGAAACACATTCATTATGAAAAGCCGTTGGAAGAGCTTGAAAAGGATATTAACATTATTTCTCGAGCTTTAATGTAATAAAACTTACATGAACCGGAAGGACGACCACTTGACCAGAGATCTACTTTATTTTTGGCAATATATCGCAGTACTTCCGCAAGGAGTTCACGTAAGAACCTAAAACTTTTTTTTTGAATGGTTCTTCAATGGACCCCAAAAGTCTACCATAGTCCATCAAAATCGGAAGTGGCTATCATTTCCTGCTGCTATCATTTCACAAGGGATGGCCCGTTTCCCACCGTTAGGGCATTATCTTCCCGTTATCGTCATCCTCCAAACCTCAAGTTCCCGTTCCTTTGAAAATTAGAACAATACTGAGTGAAACCTCGGTCCTTAAACGGATCACATTGCAAAAGAAAGAGGGATTAGCGGGATGGAAAGCCTCATTGCAGTTAAGATATTGCTATGATGAATTTATGCGGGAGACATCGCGTATTGCATGTTGCTATGCGACCTCACAAAAACCACCTATGCAAATCTCAGGATATTTACTTCATACGTAGTATGACCCTCTTGTCCTTGCAAATCACATGGAACGGGCATCTGTAAGACCCTAAAGCACGAGAGAATGCGTGATAGAAATGTTTGGTGTATGACAGGAGGGACGTGCCAGCTGGTGCCAGGCGGCAACACGACCATGGACGTCCAAGACGGAGGGGGACTGGAGCTCTACCAACAGGAAACAATTGCCATGGGTGAGTCGTACGATCCAGCGCTTTGGAACCGACTCGCTTGGTCTCAAAGGAATTAGCTTTTACCCTCCTCTCTTGCCGTGATTGCAGGAAAAAACAACACGTGCATCGGGCTGAGGTTCGGGCATGCGTGCGTTTTCCCTTTCACGTACCAAGGAGTGACGTACAACGGATGCACCAAAGCCGCATCCACCCAGTTCTGGTGCTCTCCCGTTCCCAATTATATTACCGGGAGCGACGTGTACGAGCTTTGTCCCTTCTCCTGCCCCATCAACGACCCCTGCTGCTAGCCAATGTCTAAGTTCTATGCCCCTTCACTTGTCCTTTGAAGAGTGGCTCCTGCTAGCTTTTCTCCTTTTGTGCTTTCTTGATCCTCAAGGTCTGAAATTCCTTCCTCTCTAACACGATGCGTGTAAATCGAATTTCAGGAAATAAAGCCTTGTGTCACCTTCACCTCAGCTGCAAGCTTTGACATGATGTCATCTCATTTGACTTCTGAAGTATTGATAATCGAACCAAAAACTAAAGTAGGTTATATGAACAGTTTTTCACAGTGAAAGCAGCCGAATAGCTTGCAGAATGATAATTATTGGCGCTACCGGTAAGAATCCTCCCTTTTTCCCGCTCATTCAAACGGGCGGATTCATTTCAAGGTAATATGGGAACATAAAAATCGACTCCCCTGGATCGAAATTCCGCTTCACAATTGTGCTAGGGGACCTCGAGAAAGGGCCTTGGAGCCGATTGCTGGCTCTCTCAGGTCACGCCAGGTCATGACCTGAGGTCAAAGGTCACGATTTGCATGCTTCTCTTTGAGAACCTGTATCTCCCCGACCCTTGCTTGCAGAAACGTCAAATTTTCTGCATTCTCCTTGGGGCATGCAACGCTAAATGGAAATTATCAATGCATTTATGTACCTGTCGTTTTCGAGACGCCATGACGCCAAAACAGAGAATTTATTTTTCTCATCGGATTCTTTTCCCTCTCATTTCTCGTAGACTTCTTTTCCAGAACTTCTTATTAAGCTACTCTCATATCTTAGAGCAGCTCACAAGTATCTTACCACTGAGCGAGTCCTGCATCCGTCTGAAAGCAAGGCTTCCAAACCGGATATGCCGCCTTGCAAGAAGAGCACTTTCGAGTTCAGAGTACCATGGCAGATGTCAATTTTATGGTGATAATTACAAGGTCCTCGTATCAATAACTTATCAAAAGTGTATCTCCTCATGAGCGTCAATATATACATTAAATGTAACATCAAGTCGATGTGACTTACATACATGTCAAGTTTTTTACGAAAATAGCAACATCAATAGTCATGCCAAACTTTTCAACATGCATGAATTTCTCATCATATTGACGTAGTATTAACATGAAAGAGTCAATAAGTGTGCTACCTGGGTATATGATAATGAAACCATCCGGAAAAAATTTTTAGGGCTGCTTACAGATAATTTGGGAAACGAGAGGTACCCCTCTTGTCGCCTAGCCTCATAATGTTATGCCGAAACCCATTTTGTTGCCTTACCCAACACGAAAAAAAGAATGAGTCTTGTGGGAAAAAATTACAGGAAGAAACAGGTGAATTGGAGCAGAACCCATGAGAGTTTTTACTTGAAAGGCAATACTCGAGTGAATCGGGTAGGAGGAGATGACGACAGTGCATTTCCCCTCAGAGACTTCAAGTCCTTGAAAGGAAGGTTCCGACGACGTAATTCAGGAATCAGGATCGTCTCTAGCACGCGAACATACTGTGCCGTGTACAAAAGTGCTGTCATGTGACCGTACGTTTTAAGGATGAAAGAGGGCTCTCGTGCGCTGTCACTGCAGAACCTAATGTGCATATGCTTAAGACATCCCTGATTCCTGAATTACTTAGTCCTTCCTTTCGAGGACATTTCCTTTCAACGAGACGGAGTCACATCTCGTGCAGCAACACTTCAATGGTCACATCGTCTTTTGGTTGGGTGAAAATGTCATGGCCCACAAGATCCCCTGATGTAACTGTACCCGATCACTTTCTATGGACTGCTTGAAAGAAAAAGTGTGCCCAAATGGCCCTCGCGCATTGCAGGAACCATAGGAAATCACGAGTGCAAAAGTAGCCAGATAACGTAACCATTGTGTGAGGCGACTGTCGAGAACTTTGAAAAAACGATTACTTTATTGTGTTGCATCTCACGGAGATCATGCAAAGGATATTATCTTCAATACTTAAGGCCAGTGTATGGGCATAGGATGTCATTTGACGGCTGTATGGATCAGGATTAAGGCCTTGAATGGTACTTGTGCAAAATCACACTGTTTTCTGAAGATGAAAAGAATCGTGAAGCATTTAATGGAGGGCCTTGGAGCCACTTTTACGGCACTCTCAAGTGAAACCCCTGACCGTGGCGAATGACCAAAGGTCACGATTTGCATGCCTTTCTTTGTACGCCTTCATATCGGTAACCTCTCACAAGGGACATTCACGAAGTGATACGCTCCGATTTTAACCAAAATTGGCACAAATGTAGTACATAATTATTAAATACCGTCAGTGAAATTTCACTTGCCCTCGTGGCCTACGGACTGAGTTATTAAATTTCAAAAATTATGAGCTACTATAATGTGATTCCATATAAAATGGAAGAAACAAAGGCATAGCTCACAATAGCAGCATCTTATGAATGTGGCCACATCACATAAACTGTCACCTATTAATTTTTGACCGTTTCGTTGAAGGATGGGTCATTTCATGGAAAATCGCATAACAAATTTGCAAATTTTTTTTGCCGACCCTCTCCGATTTTCATGAAATTTGGCATACAAAGTTCTCAAGCCCGAAAACTCGGAGATCTAACATTTTAGCCTACTCGGACCAGTTGGTCAGATGCTACAGGGTGGTCAAAATTTAGGGTCACCTATCCACCAATTTTGAAAACCCTGTAACTCAAGAACTATTTGCGATAGAGCTATGGTTAAGGTGTCAATTCACTGGAAATCGCTTAAGGATGTGAAAAATATATTTGAATTCTCAATTTAAAGATATCACGCAACATTTTTCCTTGGCTCGCCGTTCATGGATATTGTTGACTGGATGGTGTAGGAGTGCGTAGTTGCATTGACCGATTGCACGACTGATTCTACAGATTTTCTACTTCGGAAATCTAATGTTCGTCCCGAAAATAGTTTTTTTTTTTAAAGGCAATCATGTTTTTATTCAATACACATTGCGAATTAGACATTTTATCCCTTCGATAAGTCACTCTGGCCTATGTTTCTGTTGCTTTAGCTTAATGTTCTGGGCCTACATGGCTATGACTTTTTCGGCTCTAGGCTAAGGTTAGAATGCCTGGGATTGCTTGAACAAGTGTGTAAACTCGCGACCCATCCTGAGTGTGTTAAGAGAAACGACCCCTTTTTCTAATGGTCGCCATTTTTTTTACACCTTTTGCCTTTTGCTAGTTCTGTTTCTCGGATTCATCATCATGATCAATCCTCTCACTGTTCTTAAGCTCCTGGAGGTTAAATTTTCCTACTGGACCCCTACATCAGTGCCATCAGATGTCGAAGTCGATTTGGCAGAGAAGTTAACAGGTAACTTGTTACTATATGAATATAATTAAAATACACTCTTTGTTACTAATCCTGTTCTATTTTAGAGACTTTGAAATCATGCGTCGAAGGGGATGAATTCGAGTTTGAATTTCAAGAAGATCTTGTATTCGATTTCGAAAAAGGAAAAACCGAGGAAACGAATGAAAATTGCTATGAAGATGATGAGGAAGATGATGGCGATGATGATGACAGCGATGAAGACCATGAAGTTTCTTCTTCCTCATATGAGCCTTCACCCACGAAGCGACATATGACAATGGGACCAACGATGGCACAGAAGAAAAAAGCTGTGGAATTTTGGAGATCAGGAAAGAAAGGGACCTTGAAATTTGAAACAGTTCGCCACAATTTCAGATTCATTAGAAGTCGAGCTCAACTTCATCGATATGAACGTCAAGTTCAAGAGGCGGGCACACGAAAGGAAAAGTTCTGTAAGATCCATGTAGGCCTGCTATCGAGATTCCAGGCTGCGAAGGAAGCACTTCTTCCTGTTCATGACAACGACTTGAAGCGATGGGCACTAGAGGAAAATAAGAAACTCGAGCAACCACTCAAAAATTTTAAAGCATCAATTGGATGGATATGGATGTGGAAGAAAACCCATTCCATCGTTTCCCGCAAGATTACTAGAGTAGTGTCCAACAAATACTCCTTGGATCAGCGAGCAGTTTCCGATACTGCAATAGAGTTTGTGAAACAAGTTAGAGATGTCCTGGACTCACACCCCTCGCGACAGGTATTGAACACAGATCAGAGTGGCTTCAAAAAAGAACTACATTCGGGACGAACATTAGACTTCCGGGGCAGAAAATCTGTCGAATCTGTCGTGCAATCGGTTAATGCAACTACGCACTCCTACACCATCCAGCCAACAATTTCCATGGACGGCGAGCTCATGTCTCCTCTTCTTATCTGTCTGCAGGAAGCGGGAGGCAAATTTCCAAGAACAGTCACAATTTTCCAGGCTCCGAACATTCATCCTGTGGCATCAGCCTCTGGTCTGATGACCAAGAATCTTCTAATCAATGAGTACTTCAAAGAAGTGCTATTCCCGGCAGCTAAAGAAGATTTCCTTCTTTTGGTCGATTCGTGGGGCACCTACAAAGATCAGGATGCAATTGTCTGTGTTGAACCGGATAATAAAACAATGACTCTAATGCAGATTCCACCAAAAACAACTGGAATTATCCAACCGTTGGATGTTTATTTCTTCCGCATGTGGAAGGACTTTATCCGCAAAGTTTCAGATCGTATTCTCCTGGATCGGTTGGAAGTCAATCTTTTCCAACGAGATAATATTTTGAAAATCCAGTCAATTACCCACAACCAGTTCTCGGCTTCACGATTTAAGAACTTCATCAAATATGCTTGGTTCAAAGCTGGGTACATAGATCAGAGGCCTGAAGCACATGTAACACCAGTTCAATATTGCTTTGAAATGGACATCTTCGAACAGAACTGTCAAAAATTGATAGGTGATGGTGTCTGTGAAGTGGCCACATTCATAAGATGCTCCCATTGTGAGCTACGCCTTTGCTTCTCCCATTTTTATTTTGATTTTCATTATTGCAACTCATAATTTTTTTATGTAATAAATCAGCCCCTGGGCCACTAGGGCATATGAAATTTTATTTGCTGTATATTACCCGAAATTAAAATATTAAGGAAATAGAAAATATACATACAATACAAATATTATTTTGCAATTTTGCATATAGTTCGCTAGGACATAGACCTTCCCACAGAATTGTTTGAGATTTTAAATTTTAGGGCTTCATCGGCAGTTCAAAAGTCAAATTTATTGCCAAGAAAAAATGTTGCGTGATATCTTTAAATTGAGAATTCAAATATATTTTTCACATCCTTAAGCGATTTCCAGTGAATTGACACCTTAACCATAGCTCTATCGCAAATA